AACTGTAGTACCAGATTCTCTGGTTCGACCCCATATCAAATCATTCCGAGGTAAGGCCGAGGATATATTTGATCATCAGCAGTTTATAATCCCGGCAGACTATAGTTATTAGTTGCACCTCTTTTCCCCGGGATTACAATCACACCAAGATGTGATATATCATCAAGGAAACATAGCCAGGGGGTATATATTCGAGACAATATAATCTTCAAAATGCTATATCTCCATTTTTTCAACTGAACTTTCAACCTAAAATTAATTCCTTTAGATTAATGCAGTGAACTGGCTAAGAGAGCTTAATTGATATTCTCTTCTTGTTAAAGTGTCAGGTCCCCATTATCCTCCTAAATGTCTGTAGATTGAAATCCAGTCTATTCCAAGATAATGTACCAAAACTTTTAAATAATTTTACTGATTAAAGAATTATTATAAACATATCGTATCGCTAAATTATTTTAGTCAGTTTTAAAGTGTATATTTATGCAGGTGGTCCAAAATGTAGCACATTAATGCAAGACGCCATAAATTTTGCAAATGGCAGAAACTGTCAGTTTATTGTCGATTAAGAATAAATGCAAAATTTAGGTCGACCAACGAGGAATCCTATAAAAACGAAAAAATATTCGAAGATATTTTCAAAGAATAATAAATTGGACTTTATGTCCAAAAACGACAAGATATTTTTTCTCTAGGGAACTGAGAATTATATGGTTTCATGTTGTTGCAGGAATGCAAAATTTAAATTCCGAAATAGTACTAACTTTTGCGAAAATGGATACTTTTTTAATGTACTAAAGTACTAAATAACTTTTCAACTCTTTATTGGCTAGTTTACCAACAAGTCTGTAAACTTTCCTATTGTGTAGTCAATGGACTAGTACGTGTATTAGTATTTTGATTAGTCTGTGGACTAATCTATGACTAGTCTATGGACTTAGCTATTGACTAGACTATAGGTGGACTAATGTATTGACTAGTCTATTTAGTAGTCTATGGGCTAGTCTATTAACCAAACTATGGAATAGTCTATTGTTAATGGACTAATCTGTTGTCTAGTATATTGATTAATCTATGGATTTGTCTATTGACTATTCCATAGCCTACTCTGTTTTCTTGTCTATAGACTAATCTAGAATCAAGCCTATCGACAAGTCTATTCACTATTCTATGGATTATTCTATTAACTAACTAGTCTATTGACTAGACTGTTGACTAGTCTATGGAATAGTTAATAGAATAATAGAATATAGTATATAGTCTAGCGAATAGTCTATTGAGTAGTCTATTGTCTAGTCTACTGACGAGTATATTATCTAGTCCATGGAAATGTCTATGGATTAGTATATAGACTAATCTTTTGTTTATGGTCAAGTCTATTGACTTGCCTGTTTACTAATCTAATTTCCGGTATGTTAGTGGTTAGTGTTCTAGTCTGGTAGACCAGAGGTGGTGGGTTCGATTCGCTGGTTAAGGCACTGGTTAAGGAGCGCACAACAGGCCCGATAGAGGCCTAGGTGTATTTCTTCGGATTTGATATATATACATCCTCCTTTCAAACTAACTAAGTCTGTTGACTAATATTTGTTTGGTCTTAAGTCTCGGACACCATATGTTAGCATAACACCGGGTCCTTATAACCTAGAATATCTAGTCAGCATCAATCATTTTTATTTCAATATCATATTTTGGAATAACATATTTAGTTTTATGAACACAAACTCAATAATACACTCGATGTAGGGTACTAAGCTATTCCAAACAAATTTTGAAATATACAAAAACAAAAATAACACACAAACAAAATCTAAACAGTAGTATTGCTTTTGTTTTTCTATATTTTTTTTTTTTATTAAAATATATATTTTTTGTATATTATTTTCGGAACACACACTCAGCACTAAACTAAAATAAAATATAAAAACCAAAGAACATAATTTAAAACATTGAACTAAATTTTGTTTAAAGTTTGTTGTTCTTATTTTCTTTCGGTTTTTTTTTGTTTGATTTTAATTATAAATAAATAAATGATTTATTTTGTCAGATTTTATGTTTTTATTTGCCCACAAAACACACGCGTAATTGAGGTTTTATTATATTTATAGAAAAAAGAAATACTTTAAATTTTATTTTTTTTTAACTAATTAGTTAATAAGTAATTTTCTTGAATTTATTAAGAGATTATTTAAAATATTTGTTGTTTTTCGGTATTTAAAGCATTAATTACTTTTTTTCTTTGTATTGCTCTGTAGCTGTTTTTGTATTAAATTTTTAATTTGTCTACAAAATGAAATATTTGAAACATTTTCTTTACAAGAAAAAACACTTTAAATAAAGTTCAATGCTCTACTTTTTTTTAATTTGTTCTTTTTTTATAAATATTTTCCGCACAAATCGTTTTAAAGATCTGTCTGCCAGATCTACCGAGAAACAACTGAGGGAAATTTAATAACATTTTCCTAACGGAAAATGTGTCTGGTTTGTTCTTTGTATATAGTAAAGTTGTCTTGAGAGTTTTCGTTTTTTTGTTTGATTTTTGGAGAAAATATTTTCAATACAGAGAGTATTGAGTTTATGTTTTGTGTGTGCTTTGGGGGAAAATGTTTAAATATCGAGAGTATTGCAATTTTTTTGTTTAGAAATAGAAATGATAAATAAGATTTTGTAACAATTACTAGTAAAATGTGTTCTTTTTGTACTCAGTATGGGTCAATAAAGATTTTTGTGAATGAAAATTGTTGGTATTCTTCAATATTTGAAATAATGAATTTTTTTTTCTAAACAAATAAAATTATTGCTAGAATATTATTGGATTTACAATCGCTGTTCTAAATGGTATAATGTTTTCAATAAAAAATAATCAAAATCGGATTCTGATATATAAAAAAACGTAAAACTTTCACAAAAATTTACTGGCGGTTTTCTGCTTTTTTCTATTTCTAGGAAATTTTTTAAAATTTTTCTTGTTTTAAGAAATTTTAAATGAATTTATCTATATTTTTAGGAATTTTTCAATAAATTTTTCCTTTCAAAAAATTTTTTGAAAATTTTGCATAAATTTGTTTTTTGAAAATTTTTCAAAAATTATCTATGTATTTTTAAAAAATTTACATAAATTTTCTTTATGAAATTTTTCATAATTTTTTATATTTTTGAAAAATTTTTGGAAAATTTTAAACAATTTTTTATTAAATTTTGAATAAATTTTCTAGTTTTCAAAATTTTTCAATAAATTTTCTTCTTTCAACAAATTTCCTATTTTCTATTTTTAGATTTTTTAATAATTTTTGAATAATTTTCTTTTTTAGGGAAATTTAAATTTATTGGGAAATTAAAAATTTTTAGAAAATTTTCAATACATTTTTTTAATTTTTAGGAAACTTTCAATAATTTCCTTTGTTTGGGAAATTTTCAATAAATTTCCTTTTTTGGCGAAATTTGTATTAAATATCCTTTTGGTAAGAGCTTTAAATATATTTTTTCCATTTTTAGGAAACTAGTTTCCTTTCTTTGGGAAATTTTCAAAAAATTTCCTTTTTTGGGAAATTTTTATTAAATATCCTTTTCTGAAAAATTTTAAATGCATTTTTCCAATTTTAGGAAATTTTCAATAAATTCCCTTTTTTGGGAAATTTATCTTAACTATCCTTTTTTGGGAAATTCTATGCGAAATTTTCTGATGTTATGAAAGTTTCTTGAATTTTAGAACCTTTTTAAATCTTTAGTCCATTTTCAATAAATTTTCCCAAATTTTCTTTTTTGGGAAATTTTAATAAATATCCATTTTGGGAAATTTTAATAAATATCCATTTTGGGAAATTTTACTAAATTTTCTACTTTTAGGAAATTTTCTATTTTTTTAACTTTTTGATAAATTTCCCAAAAAAATCTTTTTAGGGAAATTTTCTAATTTAGAACATTTTATTTTTTTTTTTTAATTTTTGATTAATTTTCTTATTTTGGCAAATTTAAAGTTTTTAGAAAATTTTCAAAACATTTTTTCTATTTTTAGGAAATTTTCAATAAATTTCCTTTTTTGTGAAATTTTAATTAAATTTACTTTTTGGGAAACTTAATAAATTTAATTTTTAGGAAATTTTCACAAGACTTTCTATTTTTAGGAAATTTTTAATATATTTCTCAAATAAAATCTTCTTTGGGAAATTTTCTAATGTTTGGAAAGTTTCTTTAAATTTACAACATTTTAAATTTTTAGTCCATTTTCAATAAATTTTCTCAAATTTTTACAAATTTCCTTTTTTGAGAAATTTCAATAAATTTCCTTTTTGGGAAATTTCAATAAATTTCATTTTTGGGTAATTTTTTATAAATTTTCCATTTCTAGGAACTTTCTATATTCTAATTTAAAACATTTTAAATTTCTAGTCAATTTTTAATAAATTTTCTCTAATTTTCACAAATTTTTTTTTTGGAAAACATAAAAATATTTTGAAACTTTTTGATAATTTCCCAAAATAAATTCTTCTTTGGGAAATTTTCTAATTTTTGGAAAGTTTCATTAAATTTTCTCTATTTTTAGAAAATTTTCACAAATTTTTTCTTTTTTTTCTTGGAAAGTTTCGACAAATTTCCTTTTTGGAGAGATTTTGAAAAAAAAATTCTTTTTTGAAAATTTTTATTAAATCTTCTTTTTTGGAGAAATTTCAATATTAAGCTTTACCTTTTAATTAATATGTCTGTACGTTTACTCTTTTAACCTTTTTTCCCAACTTCAAATAACAAAAACCAACACATTCACACAAAAATTTCAAAGAAAAACTACATGTGTTTTATTGAAAATTTACATAGATATAATAATTATTTTATGCAACATAAAAGGAACAAAAAAACTTGAAAAATAAAACTAAAATAAATCATTTAAAATGCATTTAAATATTGATACCAAAACCATTAAAAGGAACCATTTACAACGGCTCCAAAACAATTTCAGTAAATGCCATTATTATTCAAATGCCCTTTCTTAAATAAACAAGTCTTTTTTTAAAGAAAGAAAAAAATTAATTTAAAATATAACTGCATACAATTTAAAAAACAAAATCCTAACAAAACGTTAAATTTAAATGGGGTTGCTTTATAAGAAACGTTGTTGTAACAGCAATACACATGTAAAAAGAGAAAGATTTAAATGGCAACCATTATTTAATAACAATTTCTTTTTTTGTTTATAATATGCAACATGCAGAAGGTGGTAAAGACAATTGAGTGTGTGTATGTAAGAGCTTCAACCATTAACAGCCCCGGGTATGTTCATAATCAAGGCATCGATATAGCTTATTGATATTTGGCTAAAGTTGGCAGTGGAGCAAAGCTGTTTCTGTAGGTAGTAGGCTTAATAAAACCACCAGCAGATCTAAATATAAAATTAAAATCAATAAGTTTTGTTTCATTTAATTAAAAATAATAAAATACCTCCAAAACATGGAACTGCCACGTTTAAGTTCATTTCTGGCTTGCAAATCATTGAAACAACTAATCCAGTTATTATACTTGGGCATAATGGGTGGCTGACCAGCCATCAAACGAGAACCGGTAACAGTCATGCAGGTGGATACCACATTCAAGGGATACAAAATGCTGGCAAAAGCAAACTATTGAAAGGAAAATTAAAATATAAATTTTTGGAAATATTTTCACAAAACTTACTTGTGTAAAACCGGCACTATATTGTCGTCCAACTTTGTCTTTAATTACGTATTTATTAAGTAAAAACACTGTTGAACTGGTCAGTACCAAACAGGCAACATCACACAATATTTTTGGTACTAAACCAGCAAAGAATCCCATTATACCTTCAGTCCTATAGATTTCAGCAATGGAGCCCATTATGGATTTGTAGATGGTTTCACGTCCAATAAATTGTGCCATCATACGCACAGAAATCACATGGAACGGTTGCGATATAACTATACCCGATACACTTAATACCACATCACGTTTAAGATTGACCTTGAATTGCAAGTAACTGTATTGGGATATGTGGGGAGGAAAAGAAGAGAATGAATGAATAATAGTTGAATGGTAAATTTCGATTAATTTTATCTTTTTAATACATTTATCGATAACTTTTATATTTTTTAGATATTTTTTTCAAAAAAATTTTGATGAAATTGTTTTTTCTAGAAAATTTTCGATAAATTTTCTCTTTTTAGAAAATTTTCGATAAATTTTCTCTTTTTAGAAAATTTTCGATAAATTTTCTCTTTTTAGAAAATTTTCGATAAATTTTCTCTTTTTAGAAAATTTTCGATAAATTTTCTCTTTTTAGAAAATTTTCGATAAATTTTCTCTTTTTAGAAAATTTTCGATAAATTTTCTCTTTTTAGAAAATTTTCGATAAATTTTCTCTTTTTAGAAAATTTTCGATAAATTTTCTCTTTTTAGAAAATTTTCGATAAATTTTCTCTTTTTAGAAAATTTTCGATAAATTTTCTCTTTTTAGAAAATTTTCGATAAATTTTCTCTTTTTAGAAAATTTTCGATAAATTTTCTCTTTTTAGAAAATTTTCGATAAATTTTCTCTTTTTAGAAAATTTTCGATAAATTTTCTCTTTTTAGAAAATTTTCGATAAATTTTCTCTTTTTAGAAAATTTTCGATAAATTTTCTCTTTTTAGAAAATTTTCGATAAATTTTCTGTTTTTAGAAAATTTTCGATAAATTTTCTCTTTTTAGAAAATTTTCGATAAATTTTCTCTTTTTAGAAAATTTTCGATAAATTTTCTCTTTTTAGAAAATTTTCGATAAATTTTCTCTTTTTAGAAAATTTTCGATAAATGTTATGTTTTTAAGAAATGTTCGATACATTTTCTGATCGATAACTTTTACAAGAAATGTTCAGATAAATGTTCTATTTTTAGAAATTTCTCTTAAAATTTCTCTTTTTAGAAAATTTTTGATAAATTTTCTCTTTTTTAGAAAATGTTCAATATCTTTTCTCTTTTTAAAATGTTTCTATCTTTACCGCCGGTTTTTTAGAAAGATTTCTTTCACCTAACGAAAAAAATTTAAATGTTAGATACATCTTTTTTATATTAAGGTGACGATATGTAGAATCATGATATCATTTCTTAAATATAATACCACATAATGTTTATTTATAGTTAATCTCATTTCAAATAGTGGGAACTACTTATATTTTCATATACGAAATCAAATTTGATATTAAAAAAATAAATCTATTTGTATTGAAAAACTTCATATTGCAATGAAAAATAAACATACTTTTTATGTAAGATTAATTTTGGATAAATTTTACGTTTCAGCCTTAGAATGCAACAACAAAGTTACCAAAAATGTGTTAATTAATTATATCATAATATAACATAATTAAACTGCTTTCCAAAGTAATAAGGCAAAAGTTACTAACTTTTGATTTAAACTTGCCTTTTACACTTTTTAATAATACCTATAACAATGATAATAATAAAAACTTACAGTTCTTCATCGGTTAATAAATCCTCATCCTTTTTATCTTCCATGGCCTGAAGACCCAAACGATTGGCAATTTTCTCACTAAAAATCATGCTGCAAATCGAACCCACCAGCTTGGGTGTCAAACCACGATAGGAGCCATAAAAACCATCAATTTTGCGTATATGGCCAGCTAAAATTTGGCATAATATTAAAAATAATGAAACTATCTTAAGAACTACCACAATCACTTACCATATTGAAAGATATTGGGTAAAATCATTATGGGTTTACCCAAAATAGAACGTCCTGGTACAGCTGGTATTGGTTCATAGCCCAATTGTATCAATACTTTGGAATACTCGAAGGGATGCAGAGCAGCACTTACACCCAAACGCATACCAAAACGTATCCATTCTGATACTTCTTTATTATGTTGACTTTCATCTTCATCGTGGAGTGACATTTTGGCCGGTTGATCGCTTTCGATGAAGTTGTATTGAAGAGATTTTAAGAATTATTTGCAATTTTATTTGTTGGGGTGCGGCGGGTAATAGTTATTATGGAACCGGCCAGATATAATTTTTTTGCGATAACAAATAAGATTTTTTTTTGGGATATGTCAAAGTCAGGTTAGGAAAAAAATCTATTGACAGCTGTTTTGTGTTATCAGTTCTGTTGGCATTGCAGAGAGTTAATACAGTGTTGTATTTATGATGTAAAAAACGTTAAAATGGAAGTCTGATGTTATGACAATAATTATTCATTTCATAAAAATTTATGATTAAGATTTTTGTTCTTATATTTATAATCAGACATAACCTAAAAAAACTATATATATCTAGAATAGTTGCAAGCTTAGTCTATGGACTTGTTTAAAGCTTATTCTATAGAATAGGTTATTGTTTTTAGGCAAGTTTATGGTCTAGTCTATAGAGTAGTGGCGCCCAAAAGTATAGTCTAATTCATGGTATTAATGTTGTATTAATTAATGAACATTAGTATTTATAAAGAATGTATGTTACATTAAATCCGAAGAATCGAAACCAAAACCTCTGGTCTGACAGACTAGACACACTATTAACATAAAAGTGAAAATTTGTCGAACATTTTCTAAAAAGGGATACATTTTTGATTTATAGAAATTTTTTAAAAAAGATAAAATTTATAAACAGAATTTTTTTTTTTAAATTTCAAAAAGTCAAAATTAATCGAAAATTTTCTGATAAAATCGTAAATTTTGAAAAAAAAAATTAATAGAACTTTTAAAGATTTTTTTAAGAAAAAATACACCAATAATGTCGAAAACAAGAATATTTATAATACTTTTTTTAAAAGGTTTAAAATTGAGTAACAAATATTTGAAAAGTCGAAAGATCGACTTTTTGTATGAACTTAGCAACAGCTGTCTTTTGTTTACATCATTAAAACGGCGGCAACAACAACTCAAAAACCTTACATCACTAAATAACCAATTCCACATGTTTAAAAGTAATTTTACAAAATGAATCGTTATTTATTAGAAATTTCCTATATTGGAACAAGATTTCGGTAAGTTTTTCTATAAAAACAAAATATTTATAAATAAAACATTTATTTATTCCATTAGAGGCATACAAAAAACAGTAAATAAATTAGAGGAGGCACGTTTGGACACCACAACAATACAAGGCTGCATAGAATTGGCACTGGGTGTCTTTAGACCGGTTAATGAAATACAGACGGTATTATCAAGTAGGTAAGTTTTCGTTTTTTGCTAAACAAAGTATTCATTGTGTAATTTAATGTATTTTGCGTAGAACTGATGCGGGTGTCCATGCTTTACATTCGACTCTGCATGTAGACTTACAGCGCTATGATGGTAATCCTTATGATGTTAAGTCTATGGTGGGAGTTTTAAATCGTACTTTAGATAAACAGAATTTGGCTATACGTGTTCTAAATAGTAGAATTGTACCTGACACTTTTCATTGTCGTTACGACGCATTGGCTAGAACTTATTTGTACCGACTTGCTGTGGCCAAAGAAGGTATCACTGAGTCTGAAGGTTTGAAAAATAGAAATTTTGAAGCCTATTTACCAGTTGAAGAATTAGATCGCTGTTATTTTTTGCAGTAAGTAAAATTTTTTTGTTTTATTTTCCCATTGTCATGCACTTCATATTCATATAATCCGTGATTTTTAAAAGATTCTAATGTTGGGAAGTGATTTAGGTGCAAGTTTTTTGTTCGGTGATCAATGTAGTGTTGTTAGAGTAACTAATAATATTGATTTTTGTGAAATCCATTAGAAAGTCCCAAAAAAGATAATTAAGTATTTTGAAGACTTTTTATCATAGATCTGTGGAAATCCGCAATATTGTTTTGTAATACAAACACATACAGCTATTAATACATTCTACAAAGAATATTGATCATGGACCATGTATACGAATTATAGATAAAACTTTTGATTTTTAGGACATATTTTGATAAATTTTATATTTTTATGAATTTTTTGCTAAAATTTTGTATTGTTATAAAATTTCTCATAATTTTTTAAGGATTTTTACCCAAAATTATAACAGGTTTAAAACTTATTCTATTTTATGTTCGAATTTTCGAAATTTTTTAAAAAATACTTATAATTTTATATAACTTCGAAAAATTAAAGTTGATTTAGGCGACTTGAGTGTCACATTGTAAAAAAGCTTAAATATTACCAAGTTACCCTTATAAGGCCATCATTCATACCCCTTTAAGGCTATCATTCCTCTTAATATATCACTAAAACCAACCATAACAGTTCCTTTATCCTTACGAAAACAAACAACATTTTCATTTGCTTTATAACATTCAATAACTTTTCCATGCTGAATTCATCCATCAATAACAAAATTATTTTAACGTCCAATAAAATCTTGAAAAACTATCACATAAAAACAATTTAATTTCCAGAAATGGAGCTTTCGACATTGAACGCCTAAAAGAAGCATCGCGCATGCTCTTGGGTCGTCATGATTTTCGTACATTTATGTCGGTAAGTCGCCAGAAAAGTCCATCACGTGATCATCCCATGTTTACGGTACGAAGTATTGATGAAATTAATATACGACCTGGAAAAACAGCAGCCATAGGTCCCAATGCCAAATTAGCGGAAGAGTATTTTAACTATTGGGATATAGAAATAAAAGCTAGATCGTTTATCTACAAACAAGTAAGACGTATGGTGGGTGCTCTTGTAGCGGTGGCTACAAATCGTATAACTGAAAAGGGTTTATATGAAATGTTAACTATACCCTCTAAACATAATTGGGATCCACGTATTCTTTTGGCACCAGCCTTCGGTTTGTATTTAAGTCGTGTGCATTATAACGAAAAAGATTTGCAGTTCAAAGAATAAAAAAGAAGTAATTTTAACAAAATGAGTTTTCTTGAAGAATTAAAACAAAAGAAAACCAAACTAAAGGCTTGTAATACTGTTATAACCACTACCACGGGTGAACGTTTCATTGAAAATTCTACCACCCATGTAACAGAAAAACTTAATACCACCCCCATCTATGGTTTTGTAGTGGATACAAAGCCAGACTTTAAACCAGCTCAAATTTTGAACAATTTTCTTTATTTGGGTTCTCAGGATGCTGTGAATATGGAAAACATTAAGGAATATAAATTAACACACATTTTAAGTATTGGCATTGAATGTCCTCCTCTAGAGGATTTACCCTCTAGCTTGAAAAAGCTCTATGTACCCTGTTTGGATTTACCAGAGACCAATTTAAAGGAGCAGGGAATTTTATCAAAAGCTTTTGATTTTATTGAAGCCGTTCGTTTAATTAATGGCCGTATTTTGGTACACTGTAATGCCGGAGTTTCTAGATCTGCCACTATAGTTATTGCATATCTAATGCAATTTCACAACATGGATTTCGATATGGCCTATAAACAGGTTAAATCACAAAGAGAGTGTATACAGCCCAATGCTGGATTTTTGAAACAACTAAAAGGATTTAAAAATTAAGTTCAGATTATTAATAATTATAAAATTAACTTAAGGTTAAATATACTAAGCTGTTCAATTAAATATACTAAAATGTTTTTATATTAAACCCTTAAATTGAAGTTGTATTACTCACTTTTGTTAGTTTTTATAGCTTTGTTTGCTGGGTTATTATTCTACTATTTTTTGAATTTCAAAACATAGAAAACCAAGTTTTAAACAAATAGCAATTTTAAATTGATTCCCCATTAAAATAAAATGGAACGGCAACAAGATTCTTCTAAAAAGTGGAAGATGGATGTGCCAGAACAATCGGATAATGCTAATACCAAAAATCAAGACAACAAAAAAGTTAAGGAAACATTTTTCGGTCGTATATTTCGTAAAATCATAGATAGCGGCATACCAATTAAGAAAGCTCTTAATTTGGTATTCTTTGGTTACGTTTTTGGCATTATTTTAACTATAATTTGGTACAATTATGTTACGAAAGAGGAATTGAATACATTACGTTGGATTTGTTTCATTGTTATTGGATTTATCGTATTGCTTTTATCCTATAGTATGGAAGTAAGGTAAGAAGAAGAGACTCAAGGGTTACAGAGTAGTTCTCATGGTGGCTTGATAACGTAATTGTTTAAAGTTTTGTTGCAACAGTTCCGCTGTTGTTCACAGCTCTTCCTTGGAGAAAAACTATCGTTTGGTACATTGGTGTATGAGTTGTAATCTTTGGACGATTTGAAAACGGGTCCCGATGATGTGAAAATCCAGTTGTAGTGGAAATAAACCATATTCTTTAATCTGAGTACCGTTGTACCATGGTGCCAGGAGGAAGTTAATATCTGTTTTCACAATTTTTATGCCCTAAACCTAGTCTGCAGATTTGGAGGTTATATCTTCGAGTAACCTCTGAAGACGTAAATTTCGTCAATCAACTGCCATACATCGGTACTCATATTTAAACTGATTGACGACAGCTGCTTATATATGACTATTCAGACTCTTAGAAGCTGCAAACGGGAATTCAATGAATCTGATCATTTTCAGAACATTATCTCTTAGTGATCTCATTGACAACTAAGATCTCATTGATCTCATTGACCACTAAGAAGACCGACTGGTAGTTTATCTGCCCTATTTACCTCTATTAGTGCCTTAAATTTATTATTCCAATGACATGATTGCTTCGGCATACTCTTTTGAGTTTCTTCCCCGTGGACGGCATTACCACCTTATGTTTTTCGATGAAAATAGCATCTGGAATTACACTAAACTCTACCGGAGGTTCTTTCAAACCTTGTTACCCTATGTCAGTGTTTTTCAACTATGTGCCTATCGCTTACGGTGAAGGTTAAAAGACCAAAATTTGCTTCCTGGTTTTCGCCTTCTCCTTCTTCGTTCGTACCGAACAAGATATCGATCGAATGTCTGCGAAGAGCTCTTATTCTACTGTTAACTCATGTCATGGCGATATCGTCAGAGAGTTAAGTTAACTATTCCAACTTCTAAGTAACGCTGGTTTTCGCACATGATTGACACGTAAACGCAATAACTCCGTTCTTCCTACTCTACTCGTTCTGGCAAAAATGTTCTTTTAATACCCCACCCTACCTTTATATCCCACATCATCCGAGCCCCTGTTCCTTTAGATGGACCAATAAAATAAAAGTCTTATATCATATTGATAAGTGTGTTTAAGGACATTTAGACTAACGCTAGTTTCAATGTTCGATCAATATAAGCTTTTTGTAATCTCTCAGAATCGTTAACTCGGTCTTATAGGATATAGTAACCATTGCACGTTTCAATATCCGACCCGTAAATGATTATTTTACCAACTTGTAATCTGTCCGCACTCTTGCATTCCTTTTTGGAACCACAACAATAGTAGTTTACGTAATATCAAAGATCATCAGATTTCCGAAAGTCCATGTACAAAAACCAAAGACACATAAAATCAGCAATTGTTCCTTTTCCTTTGAATTGGGAATCTCAAGCTGGTTTAGGTTTCACTCCTTGGTGTATTTGGAGTCTAAAACGTTTGTCTTTTTAACATTAAGTGAGACTCTGTCATTGGCGACGTTTGTATTTAAAAAGTTTCTTAACTACTTTTTCTACTTTAAAAATTGTAATGCCCATATAATGTTGTAAGTGATTTGACCGCGATATTCCTTTTTTTCAGTTATCTTTCACTTCTTTCTCCATGAGTCTTTCAGCTTGAGTCTAGATGTGTTAGCGTTTTTAAGTAACACATTCTCGATCGGAATATATCTTAACTTTATAACATTCTTCCGCCCAATGGTTACAGGTGTACCGTTACCTTGGCAATACCCATTTTATGCAGTTCCAAAGGACGTTCAGTAATAATAGCCGTGGGATTTTTCCTGGCCGCTACTGGTCCCACAGTAAATATCTTTCATAATATAGATGTAATGGTAACAAGTCTAACATGTGGTCAAATGCAATTAAAAGAAGCGCTAAGTGAAATGTTGGATGCACTCAAAAAACCCTTAGTAGCCATTAAAGAAGCCATACGCAATGCCATAAACGATTTGAGAAATGTCCTTAAAAAAGTACAAGTTGTTTTATTAAGAATCGAGGAACTGGTAATAATTATATGTAGGTATTTTTACTCCGAAAACCATTCAAAACAAAAGATACTTAAGATCTCAATTAAAATTTTAGTAGCTAGCATTAAGAACGCTTTCGCCTGGCTAGAGAATATTGTGAAAATGTGTAATACTAAATTTGGTACACCCTATGAACGTTGTATGGATATCTCAAAACTTGCCATGCAAGATTGTCGTGCCAAATTGGGTCCTATCAAGGGCATTTGTCGTGTTACCCATGTCTTTTCAATGCTTTGCTATACCGCCAAAATTGTGGATGTTATATGTGTGTTAGTGGATTTCGTTAATTATGCCATTATTGCGAAAGTTATGGAAAGTAGGTGTTTACAAGAATTAATTAAGTTTATGATATTATTACAAGAGTTATTGGACTTTACAGAATTGGCTGCTTTTGTGGGGGAAATTAAGAAATTATTCGATGTTTCTATAACATTTGATCATGATTTTTATTTTCAAACTACAACTTCCAAGGAATTGCAACAAGTTAAAACGGATATAATGGCGGATATACACAGGAAAATGAGAACCTTTGTTTTAATATTCGGTTGGTTGGATTTGATGAGTCTGGTCTTATTGATAGTGATTGTTATAAAGTAAGGGAATTGAAATCTAAAACTTTTGGGATAAAATTTTTATGGAGTTTAACTTCCTTCTAGAGCCATTTACTTTCGCTTGAAATATATTCACAATCTGGGCTATCAAAATAATTATATAACTAATGAATTTTTAGAAATCGATGAGAAACGCAAATCTTTACAAATGGAAACGGTTTTACCTTTAACATTTACCGAAAGCTTTAAATATCCAGGGGTATGAGTTGTAGATATTTTCTGGGGTTAATATTCTTTTTATCTCCATAAAATGGTTTATAGCTTACCGATTGCCGGCTTACTAAACAGGAATGGCTGGGTATTGCTCAATCCAGTATGTTCTTAATTATTTCAACTATTCAATTGTTTTGTATTTGTTTTGCCGATTATTGTCTATTTTGGATTTTGGCAATGATTTCGTTTTATGGTCATAAGGAATTGGGATTTGAAGGTATAGTAAAATCTTAATAATTTATAAAAGATTCGGGGTTGTCAGGATCCTAACAATGTAGGAATTGGTTTTAACCAATGAAATCGAATGTCATCGTTTAGATCGAATATCGAAGCCCATAACTTTGGCATTAAAAACCCATAATGACATTGATTGGTTTTTTTGACAGCTCCGCCCTAAGCTTCATAAACGTCGGAAGTCCATAGACTAAGTTTTTACTAATTATAACCTTACTTTCAAATGTTAGTTCCTCCCTATATTACCGTAGAGGTCGAAGGTGGTGGTTTTGTTGGAGAAATATTTCGTGGCATTGTACATGCCTTCGAACCAATATCACAAAACTATACCATGGACTCGAAAACATGTCTGCCAAATCCTAGGACTCCATATTATGCCTATTACTATTTAATAACAATGATTATAATAACGGCTTGGATTTTTCTATTTTGTCAACCCTATGGTCTCAGATTAAGGCATATAGTAATGCGTTTGTATTATCCAGAGGTGGCAAGACAAAGAGCAGCTTGGTTACACAGTAAAATTCTACTCAAAAGAAGTAAGATTCTCTTAAAAATATATCAAATGCAGAAAATATATAATTTTGTTATTCTTTAAAGTGTCCTTCTTCAAATTGGCTCGACGTAAGGCTCGTTTGTTATTTAAAAAGAATTCCACTATAGATAATGTTTCCTGTTTGGATTGGTTAAGGGCTCAAACAGATCAGTAAGTCGAAGTCTTTGTTGTTTTTACTAGATTTTCAGATTTTTTATATTTGTTTTAATATTAAAGGTATTGCATATGTCGTTTTATATTGGGCCAAAGATCCAAAGATAAATGTATATTGTGTGGCATTCCTTTAGATAGGTAATTATGATATTTATTGATGGGAGGAAAATTTATTATTTTACTTTAGTGACCTACGTAAAAAATGTGAAACTGTGGGCTGTTCGGCTATTTATTGTAAGAATTGTTTTAAAGAATCCTTAAGCATGTGTTGTCTTTGTAATAATCCTGTAGAATATGGAGATTTTAGTGATATCTCGGAAGTTGAGTAAGTTTGAAGTTGTCTTTGATTTTCGAAAATTATTGACTTTTTTTTTAATTTCTGTAGAGATTCTTCGGATGACCCTGATGCCATTCATTATGATGAAACCGATGAGTATTGTGCTTTATAAAAAAATCGTTTTTTTTTCCTATAAAATTCTTCAATAAATCAAATGTATGATTGTCACTGTTAGATTTAAAAAGATTCTTTGGGAATATCTTAGGTTGACTACAGAGTGGGAGCTACAAGCTTTTGCTTGTGTTTTCTCGCATCAAGTTTCGCTTTCACTCTGACTTGAAACATAGGAAAACACAAGGACAGGTTTGCAGCGCAAAGCTTCGCATTGCTTGTAGCGCCCACTCTGTAGTCAACCTTATTAAGGTAAAGTGAGGTTTCGTGGTGGTGTTTTTATAACTTCGATATTAATTTTAAAAATTTTTGCGAGTCCAGATTCTGGACTCTAAAACAATCTTGAAAATTAATGAAATCCTTCGTATTCCTGACGTCTGCCTTATCAGATCCTTTAGGACCGGAATCAGAAGCAATTACACATCTAAAATCTTTGAGAACATGATAAATCGTATCCTTATTTTTATAGCTTTTGTATATAAGTTCGGGAACTATCAGGTTTAAAAACTAAACGATTGGAATGTTCACCAATATATATAGACCGATAGTTTATTGCGCACGAATAGCCTCCTTTTTGACCAAACCACTCCTCTCGTCAGATGTAGTATTGTATAGCCAGTAGCTGGGAGAAATCTCAAGATATCATTTAGCTTTGACCCAGATATCTCACAGAGCTTGGATATGAAGTAATTGCCAAGAATAAAGTTTCTCTTAACGGCCAGAGTTGGGAATTCATTGTCTTTGCAACTGCGACAGTGTTCATTAAAAATGAGCCCAAGCCGATTTGCATGTCTGCCTAACACCCAGTGTTTATAAGGTGTCTTGTGCGTTTCTCATTGAAGGAGGGCCAAAATAACTTGGTCCTGTCTCTAGGTTATTCCACCTATTTTCAACCTTTTAAAGAATCGGAGGATACTGCTCTTAATAAAACCTAACGAAGTTGCTACTTAAATGACGTTGGAAATGTCAAGAACAGATCCCATTCTGGCAAGTTCATCTGCCTGTTCATCTCCATAATAGTCACTATGCGCAGGGACCCAAGCAAGGGTAATATCAGACAAGCGACCCCTTAGCCTTAACAGATCCTTCTTGCATTGTCTAACTAATAGGGAAGAGTTTAGCTAGAGAGTTTAGCTTAACTATCGATAAATATTCTTATATTGCCGCGAATATTGAGGTCATGTAGTACCCTATAGGCTGACATTGTCGCAAATATTTCAGCCAAAAATATACTACAGTTGTTGGGAAGACGGTGAGATATACTTACCCCAGCTTATACACAGAAGACACCAGAACCAACACCGCATTTAGAACCATCTGTAAATATTTTGGTGCTACATTCGCTCGGTATGTTACCGCTACACCATTCTCTCCTGGAAGGAAACTCTATCAGAGTCCGTGTGTTAGGTAATATACTCGTATGGTTGGTTCAAGATTGCAGGTAGTAGGCCTAAAATCTTAGCGTTTCCATATGTTCTTGATCTCCATCTTCCGGATGAGTTAAACCTCGCTGCACTGCAGGCAGACAGCTTCTCGAACCTTCCCAAAGCCCACTCTAAGAGACCTATTACATACCCCAATCAAACGTTCATACTGTTAAACGGATCAAACTCTGATTTAGAAGCTTGCTTTAAGCTCTTTTTTTGAGGTGTTGGAAGAGAACGCTACTAATTGTCTCCCCATTCTAAAATCTTTTGTAGTAATTGTAGACAATCCGAAACAATTGTCATATTATGTAGGGTCAGTAAGTTTACCAAGTCATAGAATCAGTGATGTTTAGATTATATTGACTTCATCAAGTAGTCGCTAAGGATCATAATCTTCTTCCCAATTATATGATAACACAAATTGATTAAACTTTGAGTACTCTGGTATTGATAAGCTTGTGATTTAAAATTGTTATTCCTCCCTAATTTAGACGGTCTTTTATGTCTTTGGACCTCGAGTTATATCTGGTACTTGTTCTGAAAAAGGTCCGGATATGTTGAAATATATACGAGTATACCACCTATTGATAAACCTTAATCAATTCAAAGTCTCTTATTGGTTTGAAATTATGATGCATTTGCTTCCTTTAACTTTTTTAAAGCATTATTGAAAATCTCAAATTTAATTACGAGAGGAGTTACATTTCCTTCATGATAGCTCCATCGAATTAAATGCTTCTATGTATTTTCATTTTTGCAATAGCAATTCAATCCCTAGTCCCCTATTTTTATTAAAAAAGGTGTTAATTTAATTTACTTATAATTGATTAGTATTAAGTTACATGTACATCACAATTATTACAAATCTATTAGTAAATGACCTTAACAATTTTTGTTCCCTTTTAATTGTGTCAATTTCAAATTCAATAGTGAATTTTCCCTATTGTATTGTCATAAATATTGCAGATCCCTTAGCAATCTTTGCCTTTTCAACTCGAAAACGAGAAGAAAACACAGCTGTCTGTTTGAATAAAATACGGAAATGCAAAGTGTTATAATTGGATCACAATAGTTGTTAATGTTTGTCATGCAAACACAATAGTGGCAAAGGGACATAACGATAAAGAGAGTAACATTTATACAGTGTTATACACCATTTCCTGTAATAATGTACAATTCATATTTTTTCATCATTTTTTCTCTTTTGTACTTTTTGTTGGTTATTAGGCCTCTTGTAACTAAAAGTCTTATACATCTTGTTTAAATTTTTTAATTTACAAGGTACATGGTGTAGCAGATGAAACAGTGATTTTTATATTTATTTTAACAATTGTTATACAAACAGTAGCAGAGTCAATAACAGCTGCCTGCCGTTTTTGTATCAAAAGCATTTTATGGATTTTAAAGATAGTTTTTATGGCACATGAGTATGAAATTTAATTCCTCTCCAAACACATTTAATTATCTAAGTATTTGCATTATTTTGCAAATATTTGCAAAATTCAAAGAATAATTTAGTTATTTTGAAGAGTTCAAAAATACAAATACTGCGGCAACAGTAAATAAATAGATTTCTAAAAGTTAAATTTAACAATTTTTACTTAATAAGATCTTGGAGGCTAGATTTTAAGCGAGTTTTCTTTAGAAAAGTTGCTTAGATTCTAGGGAAAGTTGTATGATTTCTAAGCAAGTTTTTTAAAACTATAGCTTGAATTTTAAGTAAGCTTTCATAATAAAAGTTGCTTCAATTAGGAGCAATTTTCCTTTAAAAAGGTTGCTTGGATTCTATGCAAGCTTGTATTAGAAAATTTGCTTGGACCGCAAGTTATCTTTAAAAAAGTTGCTTTCGCTGTAAGATTGTATTCTAAGCTTATAATTTTTAGAAGAGTTGTTTGGATTCCAAGCAACTTTTCTTTATAAAAATTGCTTTCTTCAAAAAAGTTGCTTGGATTGTAAACAGTTTTTTTTTTACAAAAGTTGCATGGATTCTAATCATGTTTACTTTACAAAAGTTTATTGTATTGAAAACAATTTTTAGAAGAGTTGTTTGGATTCTAAGCAACTTTTCTTTATAAAAATTGCTGGGATTCTAAGCAAGCAAGTATTGAAAGCAAGTTTTCTTTACAATAGCTGTTTAGATTTTAAGCAAGTTTTCTTCACAAAAGTTGCTTGGATTATAAACAAGTATACGGTAGAAAAGTTTCTTTGATTCTACCAAAGTTGCTTGAATTAAGTTTTCTTTCCAAAAGTTTCTTCGGAGCTTAACAAGTTTTCTTCTAGAAGTTGCTTATATCGTGAGCATGTTTTGTTTACAAAAGTTGCTTAAATCAAATTTTCGTTCCAAAAGTTTCTTTGGAGCTTAACAAGTTTTCTTCTAGAAGTTGCTTGGATCGTGAGCAAGTTTTGTTTACAAAAGTAGCTTGAATCAAGTTTTTTTCCAAAAGTTCCTTTGGCGCTTAACAAGTTTTCTTCTAGAAGTTGCTTGGATCGTGAGCAAGTTTTGTTTATAAAAGTTGCTTGAATCAAGTATTCTTTCCAAAAGTTCCTTGGACGCTTAACAAGTTTTCTTCTAGGAATTGCTTGAATCGTGAGCAAGTTTTGTTTACAAAAGTTTCTGGAATCAAGTTTTCCAAAAGTTCCTTTGGATCTTAACAAAATTTCTTCTAGAAGTTGCTTGGATCGTGAGCAAGTTTTGTTTACAAAAGTTGTTTAGATTGTATAAAAGTTTTCTTTCCAAAAGTTGCTTTGACTTTACACATGTTTTCTTTAGAAAAGTTGGATCCTCTATTAGCAAGTTTGCTTCTGCTAAGATGCTAAGTAAGTAAGATAAGTTTTCTTTACAAAAGTTGCTTGGATTTTAAGCAAGTTTGCTTTAAAAAGGTAGCATGGACTACAGCAAGTTTCCTTTAAAACAGTTTCTTAGATTCTATGCAAGTTAACTTTAGAAAAGTTGCTTGGATGTTGAGCAAGTTTTGTCTACAAAAGTTGCTTGGGTTGTATGAAAGTTTTCTTCCCAAAAGTTGCTTTGACTCTTCTTTAGAAAAGTTGCATCGACTATTAGCAAGTTTGCTTTCAAAAAACTTCTAAGATCCTAAGCAAATAAGATAAGTTTTTAGGATTCTAAGCAATCTTTCTCCAGAAAAGTTTTATTTAGATATTATTATAGATAAGTTTCTTGGATTGTAAACAAGCTTTCTTTAGAAAAGTTGCTTGGATGATGAGCATTTCCAAGAAAAGTTGCTTTATAAAAGTTTCTTGGATTTCCTTTAGAAAAGTTGCTTGAATTCTAAATAAGTTTTCGCTTGGTTAACTTAGTTTTCTTTGGCGATACAACCCTCGTATAATACAGTACAAACACTTGTTTAAAAGGTATCCCAAGTCTCTGCTTAACAAAAGCAATTTTTTGTTACATTTCAAAGAATTTTTGCTGCAATATCTGAAATTAAATTGCAATGATCCACATTTCATTCATGCTTCTGGCGTGAAACACTGTGCAATAACTACAATTACAAACATTTTGAAACGTGTCAATTTGTAAAATTCATTCAACAATCTCTGAGGTGTAAAAATATTT